ACATAAATACATACATACATAAATACATACATACATAAATACATACATACATACATACATAAATACATACATACACACATAAATACATACATAAATACATACTTACATACATACATACATACATAAATACATACATAAATACACACACAAATACATACATACACATACACATACATACATACATACATAAATACATACATAATTACATGCATACATACATAAACACATACATACATACAGACATTCATAAATACATACATACATACATACATAAATACATACATAAATACATACATACATAAATACACACATACTTACATACATACATACATACATACATAAATACACACATAAATACATACATACATAAATACATACATACATAAATACATACATACATACAAAAAATACATACATACATACATACATAAATAAATACATACATACACACATACATACATACATACATAAACACATACATACATACATACATACATAAATACACACATACATACATACTTACATACATACATACATAACTGAAGCACACTTCGATCTCAGAGACGATGGGTAGTGGAAGCTACCATCCTCCAGGAGGCAACCCAGCTGGTCCGGACTGGACGATTGCTCGCCAAGCCCAGAAGAAGCTGACAGCCACCCAGAGCACACGCATCCGCTCATGGAACCAGGCGGCCATCCACTACAAGCAAGGAGACAAGACAAAGGCACGCCCACTCTGCAATGTCCCGGCCACGCCCAAACACATCGTGTGGCTTTGTACTTGGCACCGCAAGCAGGAGCATGAACCGTTGCCTATCCCATGGACTGAGCGCCTCCAAGATCCACTGGAAGAAGATGGATTCCCAAAGGAGCCACAGGACCACCTCAACGGCAGAGCCTGGAACCATTGCCACTCCAATCTTGGCAAGGTTTGTCGGTCACCCTTGACGCCACTCCCACTTCTGGAGACAAGCGAGCCCAAGCATGGGTTTTTGCCCCAAGGACTCGACCGCAAACCAAGGCCAGAGCTTTGTTCCAGGCCTCATCACCTTAGCCCAGTACGTCCTGACACCAGTCAACGTCATTGTCCAGCTGGCATCGGTGTGGGAGGCATGGACCAATCCCCGCAAGAGAAAAGGATTCACTGACCTCGTGCAAGGATCAGTAGGATCACTCCGCTGTACATCAGCAAGAACCAGAGAACTCAAGATGCACCAGGCAGTGAACCCAGCTGTGTCTTTATGACAACCCACCCAATGCTCCAGCACAGCAATGGGCAGACTGGATCTCCAAAACAGAGCAGTACCTTCTTCAGGAACACCCCTGGGCTGCGCAGGGACGGGGTGCAACTTTGCAGGCCATCTACAAGCCTTTAGTGACCACAACACCCACCCAAACATGGCGCAAGGGCCGCCCAGCCTTTTGGGACCAACTTGAAGCAAGATTCCAACTGGCTCTAAAGCAGCCGGCCAACATCCAGCACGGCCCTGTCAAGGGCTACAACACTGGCACGGCCCACCCACGTGGGGACAATTTCTTGATACAGCACATCATTGGCACAAGTACAGAGATCCCCATGCGGCTGATCTCCTGCAACAAACAATGAAGCACCAACTCAAGGAGACGCAACAGCAAGCCAATGATGAGAACATGCTGCAGTACCAAGAATGGCTCAGGAAAGGCCAACAGAAGGGACTCCAAGGCCTATTTCGAGAGCTTAAGAGCAGTGAGCTAGTCCCAGTCCCAGATGACCCACCGCCTGCAGGATTGAGCCGCTCACCATAGGACAGTTGGCCAGAGTGCTCAAAGGCCTACCTGACAAAGCCTGTGGCCCAGATGCTGTCCCAACCCAGCTCCTCAAGGCAGCCCCACCGCTTGCCTTACCAGCTCTGCTCCAGCTTTTCCAAACCATGGAGAATCAGGCCGAGCTCCCCACCCAAATGCAGATGCACATGGTGGTGATGTTGCCAAAAAAACCAGAACATTGAACGGCCGATAACCCTGACATCTACACTCTGGAGAACATGGTGCCGCCTCAGAAAACCGCTCTTGGACCACTGGCAACGACAACTGCCCTCAGCCATGAACCATGACAAGGCAGGACCTGGTGCAAACGTGCTCTACGTTGCACTCGAAAGGATCTTACGACAAGAAGTTCAAAAAGCCAGAGGACAACATGGAGTGACAGTCCTGATGGACATGTCCACTTTCTATGATACCATTGATCTTGATCGTCTTCAACAAGAGGCCCTCCAGCTGGACTACCCTCCGCTTTTGCTTGAACTGGCCATACAGCTCTACACAGGCCCCAAGGCCATCTCTGCAGAGCAAGAGTTCACTCCGTTCTTTCGAGTGGACAGAGGAATCCCTGCAGGTTGCCCACAAGCACCGCTTTTGGCCAAAGCAGTCCTAGCACCAGCACTAATCCCATGGCAACAAGCCCACAAGACAGTGCATCTCTCCAGCTGGGTGGATGACATCGGATATGACACTCATGGTGGCAATCCCATCCAAGTGGCCAAACAAGCTGTGGAAGCCTACCGAAATCTCCATGAAAGATTGGTGCACTTGGGGCTCAAAGTCAACGCCAAGAAGACAGCTTTCCTTGCCACTGACAAGGCTACTGACAAAGCTTTGAAAGAGATCCTGCAACCACATCAACCACAAGTTGCCACGGTGATGCGTGATCTAGGCATCGATCACCAGGCAGCCAGGAGACGAAGAATCCCTGTGATGAAACAGAGGTTCATCAAGGCCGATCAAAGGAAGCTCAAGCTCAGATCGCTCAAGATCCCTGCTTTGAAGGTACGTCTCCGCCTTCACAGAGGAGGTATACAGCGGGTGGCCTTATGGGGCATCGAAGCTCAGGGTTTGGCGCCCAGATACAGGACAACCCTTCGTGCTGCACTGGCCACCCAATTGGGGCATCACCATGGAGGGGCTTTAGATGCCACTTACGACATACACAGCAACAAATACATGGATCCTGGGGATCAAGTGGTCATCCACCACATCAAGGCCCTCCACACACTGTACCATGCATGGCCTCCAGAGCAAATGGCCCACCTGGAGCAGGCCTGGAGCACCGTCCACCAGCGCCTGAGCACCAAGGCTCACCCTTGGTATACGGTCAAAGGACCATTGGCCGCCACCATTGCTTGCCTCCGTGAATGGAACTGGCAAGTCAACAACCTTCACCACTGGACACGACCAGCTACGGACTTCATGACCGAGAATGAGATCCACATCCAGCAGCCATGGTGGAAGCTTGAACAGGCTCTAATCCATGAGGCCACTGCACAACGTACACAAAGATTGGCACACCGGCCTCACCACCAACATTTGTTAGCAGGCTTGGACTGGCGCGTGTACCGCAAGATGGTCCGAACACTTCCCCAAGACCACAGAACATACCTCCTCAAGACATGGATTCAGGGTGCAACCCACTATCGCGACCAAGGAAAACCCAAGCTGTGCCCGCTATGTGGAGTTCCAGGTACCCCAAAGCGCATCGTATGGTTGTGCAAATGGCACCAAGGACGCGGCCACAAACCCATGCCGGCAGAGTGGGCCAACCGCATCACCACCCATGATGAAGAGCCCCTATGGAACTCTGGCTGGATCCCACTGGAACCACAAGAACAACGCCAGATCCAGCACCCATACCATGGGCATGGCAACTGGCAAGGCCTTCATGTCCTCCAGCCGCACCAGTACCAAGGTTGGGCATTCACGCTCGACGCAACCCCATCGACCTATGACTACAGAAGTCAGCTCTGGGTGTTTGGGCTGTGCGTTCACACGCTACGCACTGGACAACTCCAAAGACTTGGGGCAATCACAGGGATCCCAGCTAACCCACAGACCAAAACAAGGGCCCTGGTTGCGGGCTTAGCTGCATTGGCCCAGCGCAGCAGTCAAAGTCATTGTGCAGCTGGCCACGGTTTGGGAAATCTGGACCAATCCCAAACATAGACAGACATGTCAGGATCTGCTCCATGACCTGGCCGATGACGACTTCCAACGGGTCACTGTGCTCTATGTAAGCAGAAACACCAGAACACCAGACAATCCAGGCACTGTTAACGGCTTGGGAGAGGGCCAGTTCACTCAAGGATCACAAGGCAACCGAATGGCAGGCTGTTCTCGACCAAGACCATGAGGAGATTTACCGGCATGCTGCAGCACGACTGGCCCAGGTGTTTGCTGACAAACAACACTACATCCACCAAAAAGCTCCCAGGCATCAAGCTCACCAAACGAAACAGCACAAAAAGCAGCTTGTGCATCAATGTCGCAAGCCATGGCAAGCACCATACCATCGATGGCAGCCACACCGCAGCGGCTCAATGCAGTGCCTGTGGAGAGAGGGTACATCAAGCCTTATCGGCCCAAACCATTGAGGAGAAATTGGCTCAACACTGCCTGCAGCTCCAGCTTGAAGAAGAGCACCCGGACCAGCGCAGCCCACACAAGGCCATCCAACAGAAACTAACCAGAGCACAGATCATTGCCAACCTCCTGGCCAAGCAAACAGCTCAGCAGCCAGAGAGTCAGCACACCCTGGAGGAGACCAAAAGTTACCTGAGATGCACTGCCTGTGGCCTCAACGTCCACAAACGAACAAACGAAGCTGCCTTCCTCCACTTTGTTCAAAGCAAGTGTATCAACCAGCTCTATGACCAAAGCCACGACGGGCACACTAGCCACACTCTGTGGCAGAAAGGCGACAAGTTGACATGCCAAACTTGTGGAACACATACTCAGCTCGACGCCCAGCAGAGACCCATCCTCACTGCTGTGTTGAAAACGCAGCGCAAAGGAGCTCCAATTGGCGCATCACCGCCACTCACGGAGATCTTCCGCAGACAACAGCCCAGGCCAGTCAACCTGGAACCCAAACAACCAGGAGCTCACCAGTCCCGAGCCCGGCTGAAGCCCATGACAAGACCAAGATCCAGGCAGGCCATGAACCCCAGCCACTACAGGATCTACGGGCACCGCCAGGGATTGGTGACAACACCTCACCGATAGTGCCAAGGCAGCTCACCAACACCGCCACAACCAGCTATGACCTCTGAGCTGTCAACTGGAGCAACGCCATGGGCCCCAGGCCATGAACCCCAGCCTCTAGCCCAAAGGCCGCGCCAAGAACCACAGACACCGACAGCAAAAAAGCAGAGATCAGCAGAACAGCCACAAAACTGGCCCGACGTCCCCAATGAGGATATGCAAGAGGAAGACACTTCTGAAAGCAGTCAGGAACCTGACCTTGAGGTGGATTTCTTCTAGCAGGGACCATGTGCACCAGTTGCCCCACTACAACGGCGGCCTGCTGCCTGCTGCTGGCCTGGCCAATGTGCCTACACACGTTCGCCCGAAAAGACAACCCTAGGAGAAAAAAAATGCATGCATACATACGTACATGCATACATACATACATACATACATACATACAGTACATACAGTACATACATACATACATACATACATACATACATACATACATACATACATACATACATACATACATACATACATACATACAGTACATACAGTACATACAGTACATACATACATACATACATACATACATTTATACACCCAGACTGTACACATCTAGCCAGTACCTTTTCAAGACTCTCCTTTTCACATGCACTCTTAGTGTATGCCGGACCAAGTTGCGTTCTGCTTCGAAAAGCGATGGGCAAGGGGAGCTCTGACTGCCGCTGGTGGTGTGGCGTGGTGCTTTTGTTTTAGCCTGATCTGTGCCGGCTCTCGTGGCCGCCAACTCGCGAAAAACTTTGGGTAGCAAATACTACAGATACACGTGAATATATACAGATATCTGCATATAAGTGCACACAGTGACGCACACTCAATCCTCAGACCTAAATCTTTTAGCCCTTGCAATGCTGATGAGCGCTTCTTGGCCTTCTGAGGAGTGCCGGCGGAGGCACCTTGAAAAGCAAATATCCTGTTTTCTTAAATTTGATGTTGAGGCTTGTTGGGCTTGCCAGGCCAATTAGGCGTTGTGCTTGATTGTTGGTGGATTGGAACCTGTGACCGCGCTAAAAGACAGAGGGCTGTCGGCAAGTGTGATAAGTCCGAGAGGATTTTAAGTTTGTTATTCTGGGCAAGAGTTTTGTTGTAGGACTACTTGTCATCCCATGTGACCAAATATGGGCTCTTCAAAAAAACTGAAGAGTTGCCATTCACCTTTCGGTGCAGCAGGAACAACACATTACCCTTGGCCCGGACGTATTGGAGGATTGGCATCTACTATGCAACCTACCGGCTGACGAGGCGAGTCACTGGTCCTGCGGCTGTGGTTGCAAAGTTGCAAGCTCCTGCAGTAGGTTTCAGTTTTGGTTGTATTTTCATATCGTTCAACCATGTGTCAGTCCATATAGACTATTGCCGAGCATTCCAAACAACAGTCGCACTACAGTATTGCAGGTAACATCATGCGCCCAACTCCGAAATTTCAATGTCCACCCAGTTGAACTGTTCAGCATTAACTTTGATCCGCAGGGGGTGCTGCAATTGACATTGATCCGCTCTTTGACTCGGATGGTGTTGAGCGGCGGACGAGATCGGAAGTGCCTGGGACGTGGCAAAAGGATGCGAAAAGAGATAGAGATTGGACTTTTGCCATTGGCGTTGACGACTGTGCCACATTGTGGCACAGTATTGGATGGGTCAAACTACAGGCATTGCATGGTGCATTGGGAGGTTTTTCTGCATGTCCCGCTCGAAAAACTGTCTTCTAAGACTAGGACGCCATCGCCACTTTGGAAGGAGCAAGGGTTCCAAAACAGTGGGCCTCAGTGGTCGCCGGGTCTTCTTTTTGAGTGACCAGATCATCGGCAAAACATCGCCATCGCGCCAAGTTAGGCTGATGCTGTGGGATCTCAATCGGAGTGATGCGGATCAAGACCTGGTTGGACATACGCCGCTAGGACTAATCATGAAGACTCTGTTGCCTCACAAACACATTTGCGAATGGCAACAGAGGTTGAACAAAAATACTAATTAGTAGAATACATATTTCACAAGAGAACATACTAAAGAATCTAGAAGAGATGGGGCAACAATGGGGTGTTCAAGAGTGCGCCATGAGGCAAGCTGTGCGCTGCCTCGCTGTGGACTGGGCGGGGCAAAGGGCCATGAGCGGCAGCGTGGACCGATCCTTGCAGCCACTGGGTGAAATCGGCGAAATGACCGGAAAATAGGGCAAGGATGGGCGGATGTTTAGGGTAAGAACTTAACATGACACTTTGCTCAATAGGCAGAAGATCCAGTTTAAGATGGTGTGCAAAGCAATGTGTTCTAGTGGTATGAATCAAGGCTTTGGGATTTGGTGATGTGCCATTGTGTGCTGGAACTGCAACTTGGCTCCGAAAATTGGAGACTCGAGACAGTTTTGTAGCGCTATTGCATGAGGCCGCCTTAAACGTTTGCGGTGCAGTACCGCGCTTGTTTGTGAAGTAACGTTGCTGGAACCAACAAGAGCGCTTTTATCTTCACTGATTCGGCCTTTGATGCCGCGACCTCAAACCATGTTAATGCATGTTAAAGCGACAATGCTTTCTTTGAACAGCTTTTCGCTGGAACCTTGCGTAGCTGCAGATTCCCCAATTGTGAGGCGAGGTCACACCGACACCGCAACATGGGCTGCAGAAGTTGAAACGTTGGAGCCGTAAGAAACGCCCTTTTCTGCAATTCAATAGACTTCAGCGTTGAGGTTGGCCAGCAAAGGTTATATCATTTACACAGGCCACTCACTGCCAGTTTCAGGTAACCTGCCTTTCAGTGCATTGGGAGAGCAACATTGCATTGAGTGCAGGGCTGGACCAGACTTTGTTGCCACTTGGCATGTCCGTGACTTGTTCGCTGGCTAATTTTAAACATGGACTTGCAGACCCCTTTGCGGAGGCTGTGGGACTTGGATGTGGGTGAAGTCATGAAGGAGCTGATGGAAGCTTTCGCTGAAATATTCAATGAGGGGAACAATGTGACATATCACATTGTGGAAGGTCATGTCGTTTTTTTGATTCAGATGCTTTAGTCAAGCTAAGGACCACGCAAGCCCAACCGTTTGCCTGGAGGTTGATTGGATTGGGCGACAGGCAGGGAAGGTCGGCGGAACTACTGTATACGGAACTTCAATGAACTCCATATGTTGGTATTTATCTCCAAACAGCTGATTTTTCAGTATTTTTCAGTTTTTCCTTATTCTTGTAGTGTAGTGAAACATGCTCTACTGGTACCCCTTGTTTTAAGAAAGGCTTTGGTTTGGAATGACTCTTCCGATCTCTTCCGCCTTCTTGCTGCTCACAAGAACCCTTTCAATCGTACGTACCAGAGGCATTGTTGCAAGAAGGACTCAGCACACGGAGGCCTTGCTGATCGCTGCAGATGGCGCGATGCGCCATTGGGATCTGAGCCAGGACCGCGCTGAAGGCTGCGGCCGGCAGGATATCCAACGGATGTTTGCCACTGGGTTCTGGTCTTGAGATTTTGGGCGACGGCTGTCTACTATTCTTTTAGCCTGAGGCCTCGCCTCCCTACTTAAGGAAGTAAGGTGACTAGTTCACTACTAGGCCAAGCTACTGGAATCAGGATAGCTCACGCCGACGCTTCCTTGAGGAAGCGCTCGCACTAGTGAGTTGGTTCCTAGTTTTTTAGGAATCTTGAATCTTGACCAATCGAACTTGTCCTTCATTGACGGGGTGTGGCAATTTGTCACATGCTTGCGTCGCTGCGTCATGGAGACTGCCCGCTGCATTTTAAAACCAAAACCAAAACTGTATTTGATTGAAGACAATCTTGTGGTAGCCACCCACTGGTCAGGGTCCACTTGGATGAGATACCTCTTCTCGCTAAACTCAAACTTGTCACGTCTCGTACAATCTGAGGTGAATTGGAGCAATTTGCAGGCAATTACTGGCTGCAGTGATGGTGAGGTGCTGCTGTGGGACCTTTGCCCATTCCAGGTGCGTCTGCTTTTTCGGAGCGGGAACAATGCCAGCAACACTACGTTGAAGTGTGGCAATTGCGTGTTTCGCTGATGGTGCCGTTGCAGCTCAGTGCTCCTTTTGAGCAATGCATCATCATCATCATCATCATCATCATCATCATCATCATCGTCAAAAGAGTAGTTGGCCTTGTTGTTTGCACGGTGAGAAGGAGTACCGTAGAGGATGTTGGGGAAGCGTAAGTACAAACATAAGAAGAGCAGCACTTTTTTCTGACATACGTGAGTCGTTTTCAAAACCACTGTCATTTACTTTATAGAAGAGTGTTTCATCAAAAACTGTGAATTTGAGTTTTCTTGGAGAACATACGGGACGTCCAAAAAACTGATACCCCCTAATTGATTTACGTATCAATTTGCAGTGTATATATATATATATATCTTTGGATGTTGATGTGTCAACCCTGCAACACGATGCCTGCAGTGTCCATGTGCCAAGGGCTGCAAAACGATACTGGATGTCAAACCTTGGAATTAATGCACCTTAATCTTATAAGTTAGAAAACAGCTGACATGCAAAACAAACAGACGTGTGGCTGTGTAGGCTAAGGAGACAGATCCTGACATGAACAAGGATGTACCAACTATACCAACTAGAAACAAGTGCATCGCTACTAGTAGCTTCTTGTTACTAGCCACTAGTAGCTTCTTGCTACTAGTAGCGATGCACCTTGCTACTGGTAGCGTCCTTGTCACTAGTATATATATATATATATATATATGAGGGGTGACCATGGCTGTGACGCTTCCAGGTTTTGAGGAGCTGCGTACCGCCAGGGAGCAAAACGTCTTGCATGTCACTTGACAGCTGATCTAAGAGATTCAAGGCAATGCTTGCATTGCGATACGCTGGTGAATACTGAGCCAGTGGTATTGGGGTCTATGGTCTAAGTATGTGTGTAATTAATTCAGTTGGGTTGCCAGAGGCAGCTTGAGCTTCAGCTGCCATTGCCGCTCCGTATGTCCAAACTGACTCCTGAGTGGCGAGGTCAGCAAGCCCAGATCTCTTGGAGGTTGCACTTGGTTCTGGGAGCACGCTATGCCTTTGGAGCCAAATCCTCAGAAAGCTTTCAGGTAGTACCTGGTGTAGTGGTGACTGATTACATGACTCAGGAGTCAGACAGTCAAGACCTTTGTCCCATTTTGTGCATTGGTCCAGTAAGTTGCGTCCACCCACCTTCAGATTTCATTGTAGACCAGTAGACCAGTGATGCCAAACGTGCACGTACCTTTGGTTCTCACATCGGAGCAATGTGTTGTTTTGTGTCTTTTTCCGGAAGGACGTGGTTGCCTTAAGGTTCCCAATTTGAGAGGAAACCAGCCATCAAAGCTTTGGATGCTGAATGCAACTCGTCATGCATGAATCTGTCATTGCTTTTGGCGTATCACACCGTATCACTATTTTTACAAATTTGTGAGAACGCACTTGACAATGAGATTCGAGATCCGAGATTCGAGCTTCGAGATCCGAGATTCGACATCGGAGATTTGAGATTCGAGATCCGAGATTCGAGATCCGAGATCCGAGATTCGAGATAGAGTCGAAATTCGAGAACCGAGAGTTGAGATATCCGAGATTCGAGATCCGAGATTCGAGATCCGAGATTCGAGATCCGATATCCGATATCCGAGATTCGAGATCCGAGATCCGAGATCCGAGATTCGAGATTCGAGATCCGAGATCCGAGATTCGAGATCCGAGATTCGAGATCCGAGATTCGAGATCCGAGATTCGAGATCCGAGAGTCGAGATTCGAGATTCGAGATCTGACATCCTTACGTTGCACTTTCCGAGCGCAGATGTCTCGCATTGTCTCGCGCTCTGCCACGCTCATGGACGCAGATGCCTCCGTCCGCGTGTGCTTCTGGAATGGCTCGAAAACCCGGAAAGAGATCCCACCAGCTGTCACTAGCACTGTCACATAATGCAGTCACCGAACACCGAAACCAAACGATGTCTCGTGTGTGGCACTTCTGGAGCCAGCATCTTTCGCCTTGTGTCTAGCTTTGCCGCGCTCTGGATGCAGAAACCTGAGTCTGCGGATGCTTTTGTGGGGAGGCATCGGGAGCCCAAAGATCCAACCCAGCTGTCACTAGCACCCCTCACATGATGCAGCCACTGAGCACTGAATCCAATCGGTGTCTTGCGTGTTGCACTTTTGGGGCAGAAATGTCTCACATGTTGCCGTTGCACTTCCGGGCAGAGAGATGCATCGCATGTTGCACTCTCGGGGCAGAGATGTCTCGCATGTTGCGCTGCCGAGGCGGAGATGTCGCACATGTTACACTTCTGCGGGCAGAGCTGTCTCGCCTTCTGTCTCGCTTTGCCGTGCTTGGCGTGCGCGGATGCTTTCCCGCAAAGGCTCGGGAACCTAACAACCCAAGCGGCTGTATGGTCGTCGCTTTCAGTCTTTACACCATTCAGTCGCTGGCCATTGTGAATCCAACCACTTCCCTTACACCCATATTGAACATGCACATTCTACATGTCTGGCTGCCACATGAGAGAGAGTAAAAATCATCCGGTGACACATTGTCTCTTCCACCACATGCGTAATCGTGGCCTTTCCATTTCTCGTGTAGCGTGTGAGAACACCAGCAAGATGTGGAAAGTTAAAGCAGCCCAACAGCCAAATTATATACAAGTTCAAAAACATGCAAAAAACAACAGATGATCTTGATGGGAGCGCGCTCACCATTGAAGCACAGGTCCTCATTCGCCTATATGGGATCAGAGTGCAGGAGGTCTTCGCCGGCTCAGGCAGTCTCCATAGTGCGATCCAAACATAGTCCTGCGTGGCATCGGACACGCCCATCAAGTCATTGATGCGTCCTTCATATGGTCGTACTGGCGCAGCTTCCTCTCCAGGGTTCACCTCCGCCGAGGGGTGAGTCTGGCCATGATCCTAGCCTCATCCCTGGGATTCATGCGCCTGTCCTCGTCACTGGTGATGTCCTTCCTCTTCGCCCCCGCCTTGGAATGGGGATGCGTGCTGGAACACGCTCTCTCCAATGCTGCCGCAGCGATGTCCACGAAGAAGCCCAAAACCTTCCTGGAACTCTGAGGCATCTGCGCTGCCACACCGGTTTGTGCCTGCGTTGTGTGGGATCTCCCCTTCTCGGCCATCACTTTCTTGAATCACCTCCAGCGCCTGGGCCACTTCGATCGTATCCCAGCCTGCGTAACCTTGTGGGGTAATTACACCTGGGCACGTCGAGTACGAGGGACACCAGGTAGGTCTGAGTCGCCTTTGACATTCATGTGGCGATGGTGTCCTTGACAGCGGCGAGAGAGAAGCAAGGCATGAAAGTAGAGGCCAGGGGAGACAAGGTTCCACTGACCCTTCTTGTATCTCATCTCTGGCCTGCCCGTCGGCGCTGAGCGCCTTCGCGCAAGTGGGTGGGCGCGATGAGCGCTCCAGACGATTGCTGTAGACGTTGTACAGCAGGCTGGTCTCAAATCTTGGGATATCTTCCCGAGGGCATGGATGACTCCAGGATGAACTCCTTGTCGTGGGCATAGAGGGACTCGCGCGTGCGGCAGAAGTGGTCACGGCGATCTCGTTTGCGTAGTGGATCTCCGAACAGCTCGACCGAAGCAGCTTCTGAAGCTTCTCCCGGCCGACTCAGCACCCCGCCGGCCGACTCGCGCAAACAAAATCGAGGTCCGAGATCCGAGATTCGAGATTTCTGCGCGGTACCGGTGACCACTGTCACGTTCGATCTCACATCATTTGTTGTGTTCTTCAGAATTCATGCGACCATGCAAATGCGTGCAACTATACCCCCCTACCAAAAGATGGCACAAGTAAAAGTGCTCCATATGCTACTTTTTCCTGCGGAGCGGCATATGAAAGGGCTTCTGACCGTATAGATGGCACATTGTGAGGAGCCATCATATACACTCAGATGTGTTTTTTGTGTGTGCCATCGTATATGCATTGAATTTGCGATATGAATCATGATGTATATAGGCATGACACACCGAGCCCATTGATGGCATGTGGGAGACATAGCAGGTTCAAATCAAAGAGGAATCAGAGGATATATAAGAGGCGTGGCGCAGGTGGGAGAGCTGGGATGATTGGAGCCGCTAAGATGGTGATAAAACGGGAGACTGTGAAGGGGGTAGTGACAAGAGAGAAAAGGAAAGAGGAAGAGAAAAGAAGGAGAGGGAAAGGATATTTCAGAGTTGGGGTGGGGCAGGTGGGAGAGCTGGGATGACTAAGATGGCACATGCCAGGTGATGAGAGGGGAGGCTGTCAGGGGGGAAGGGAGAAAACCAATGAAAGAAGATATAGCAGGTTCAAATGCAAGAGGAACCAGAAGAGAGGAAAGAACAAGGCAAGGAAAAGAAATAGGACAGATATACAGGAAGAAAGAGGGAC